GTCAGCCAGCTGGGAAGTCTCTAGGGCGTGTGTCACCCTGGCCAGATCAGATCCCTCTCCAGAAACGGGCACAGCTGGCACACTCGTTTTAACTGTGCAAAGGCACTTCCGTCCACTGGCAAGACCTGGGCGTCCAGAATCGGGGATGAATCCAGGATCACCCCCACCCCCACCCCCCCAAGCTGCGCACCTGCTCTTTCAATGGGAGTGAAATCCCATCCCACACCGGCTGCATCCCTATTCTCTGATTTGCCTTTCGACTGGCCAGGAGCACCTCCGTCTCCTCTGGATTAAGTTTCAGTTGATTCACCTTCACCCGGTTCGTTGCCGATACGGATCCACGGATCAAGAACCCAAGCTTCCTCGGGTTGAGCTGGCAAGGAGAGCGAGAGTTGGGTGTCGTCCACCTACGGGTGACACCGAAGCCTGAAACGCCGGATCTTCTCTCCCCGTGGTTTCAGTGGAGATGTTGAATAACACAGGAGACAAAACAGAACCCGGACGGACCCTCACAGGTCAGCGGCCGGGGTTTCGAACAGGAGTCCCCCAGCACCACCTTCTGGGTTCTCTCCTCCAGGAAGGACTGGAGCCAGTGTAAAAGAGTGCCCTTCCCAAATCCCATTCCAGACAGACGGGACAGGGGGACACTGTGGTTGATAGGATTGAACGCCACTGAGAGGGGTCCAGCAAAACCAAGAGGGACACCCCACACACGCTGTATGTGTTGATTTTGGTGTTGATTTTGGTTCCCATTTCTCAGAATGGTACTGTATTTGTTTATTCCTTTTTAATATTTATATACTCATTGCTTTTAGCTTTAATTATTGTCTTCCAACGATGCAAGGTCCTTTTAGGGAGGAAGTTGGATTAAAAATATTTTAAATAAATATGGAGTAGATAAGATGGGGGAGAAAGCTGCCCACTCCCCCTGTGGTCTCTTGTTCTGAATGGCCTAACTAGGGTGAGGTGGCACAGGGGCTGCGGAATCCTTCAAGGAGGGACAGGGCACAGAAGGCAGTGCCCAAGGCAGGTGGCTCCCAGCTTCATCCCCTCCTCCAGGGTTTCTACCCGGAAAGAGACACAAGGGCCTCCGGATCGTTGGACTAATGTGTTAGGCTTCTGTGGGTAGGAGCCCTCCGCTTGCTCTGTTCCACCTACAACTCTGGAGAGGGAGAGGAAGAGAAGGTTTTGTCGTGGCTGAGGTGAACCAAGCTGTCTTTTCATCCAGACTCGATGGAGCCCTGCAGAGAGCCTGGTTCTGTGGGGCACCCCCTCTACAGCCTCTAACAGTCGACCTCTCCTCCTCCCGTCAGGAGCTGGACCTTGCCTCAGTTAGACACAAACGGCTGTAACGGGTTCTCCATGGGGCTGCCCTTGCAAAGGGGCTGGTAATGATGCATGCAGTGCCTCGTTGTCTGGAACACAGACTAGCAGTCCTGCAGGTTGCCCCCATGGGCTTCCTAGGTCCACAGGCACGGCTGGCGCTTGGAGCCCTCCATCACCTGGAAGACCTCCTGGGTGTTTCAGAGGCAGCCTCAGAGGCTCAGTTTGATGGCCCACCATCAAAATCTTTGAGACGAGGGACAGGGATCTCTCGGAGGTGTCCCCATCCTCTTGGGATCCCCTGTCAGGGCATCTATTTACAGGTTTGCCTTCAGAAGGCCTGAAAACCTCTACAAATGTATTCATTAAGTGTGCCATGAGCTGGGGCTATACTTTTAACTACTACATACTGTTCTTTCATCCAGGAGGGCTTTGGCCTGAAACATGGAATATAAATAATGAAACACATGTACAATTAAAGGAAAGGAAAGGAATGGATAGGGAAACCTCTTTATCCATGGCTGCAAGGTCTGGAGGTGGATCGACCTGCCCAGACCCAAGAAAACACTTCAGCGCAACCAGAACATTTATCAGACAAGTGGCCAGTAGCCGTTTATTGCCAGCAGAAACAGACAAGCTTAGCTGCTCTGTTATCGAAGAGATCCTTTCAATGGGGCTGCAATCAGAGGTCTAGCAGGTTCCGGATCAACGGGGGGCGGGGGTGGGCGGCTGACACCACTGGAATGATCCCTTCCATTTCTCCTTTCCTGGAGTTTTCTGTACACACAGCTGTTGTTAGACTGAAGCTCCTAAGCGGCATTTCCTAGGAAGAGTTGCAAAATTTGCAAATACATATATGAGCAGAACAGCTTGCAAAAGAAACTTGGATTGACGATCATCTGTCTATGTGTATGTGTGTGCGTGTGTACGCGCACACTCAAGATACTTCAGACAAGAGCCAGTTGGGCCAGGCGCATCAGCCTACGGAGTGCCAGCAACTCTTTTAGGAATTGTCTCAAAAGGGGTCAATGAAGACATGGTCCCCCCGCCCAGAAGGAAACCCAGCCAGCCCAGAGCCTGTTCTGTGTGCACCTTTCTGGAAGCAAGCGGCATTGTGACAGATCCTGGCGAAAGGCAGAAACCGTTTCCCCTTCCGTGGTGCTCCCGGTGGGGCCAGAGAGGGCAAAAGACCCAGATGCTGGAGCACTTATGGATGGTCCCCTCGATCCTTCCAACAAAGTGCCCCCTTCATGCAGGACTTCTTCTTCTTCTTGGCAGACTTGCCACCTTTCCTTTCCGCCTCTTCAATCATACTCACAAGGGTTGCAACCATGGCTTGGATGGGTAAGGTCCCGGCTCGGTACAGTTCCAGGAGCTCCTGCCTCTTATCCTGTGGGACATATTTAGAAAAGAGAAGGTCCAGCACACAGACCTTCTGCCCTTTGTACTCCCCGACAGCCACAGGGACCATGGTGGTCCGCAAGGATTTCTTCAGCCGCAGCTGCTGGGCATGAGAGTCTTCCGAGGTCTCAGCTTGCTTCCCCTCAGCCAGGCAGCCGTCCCCTCTGCTCCCGGACGGGCTGCTCTCCGGCCTCTCTGCTTCTGTGAGGCTGTTGGTGAGAAGGCCAGCCAGTTCCTGAGGAGAGAGAGCTCCCGCTTCAAATTGGCTTAGCAGTTCCTGCTTCTTCTCTTCTGGGACATAGTTGGAAGAGAGCAGCTCCCAGCAAGACACCTTCTGTCCCTGGAGAGCCCCAGTAGGTACAATGAAAGTCTCAGAACGCAACGTCTCTTCTACAGAGAGGAACTCAGGCAGGAAAGAAGGCTGACATTTTCCTGATGGTCCCATCTCTTGAACAGGACAATTCACATGACTCAGTTCAGTGACTTTGTCCTCCTCCATCTTGTTGACGATGGTGGTGACCACGGTTTCCATTTGGTCGGTGGTGAGTATGCCGGACCTGTAGAGCCGAAGGAGCTCCTTCCTCTTCCCTTTGGGGATGTACTTGGAGTGAAGCAGGTCCCAGACCGAAACCCTCTGCCCGTGGAACTTCCCGGCCGCCACGTTGACCATCCGGGACTTCAGAGCCTCCTCCTGCTTCTCTCCCAGAACCACAGCCTCCTCCTCCTGCTCATCTGCCTCCTTCTCCTCCTCCTCCTCCTCCTCATCATCATCATCGCCATCGCCCTCCTGTTCTGCTCTCACAGAAGTGTCCTTTTTAGGGATTCTTGTGTGGGGGGTTGTGGTGCCTTCCCAGTGGCCTGCCTGGGCGTGCGATGCTTCTTTGGCTTTCTCCTCCTCCATCTTGTTGACGATGGTGGTGACCACGGTTTCCATTTGGTCGGTGGTGAGTATGCCGGACCTGTAGAGCCGAAGGAGCTCCTTCCTCTTCCCTTTGGGGATGTACTTGGAGTGAAGCAGATCCCAGACCGAAACCCTCTGCCCGTGGAACTTCCCGGCCGCCACGTTGACCATCCGGGACTTCAGAGCCTCCTCCTGCTTCTCTCCCAGAACCACCGCCTCCTCCTCCTGCTCTTCTGCCTCCTTCTCCTCCTCCTCATCATCATCATCATCGCCATCACCCTCCTGTTCTGCTCTCACAGAAGTGTCCTTTTTAGGGATTCTTGTGTGGGGGGTTGTGGTGCCTTCCCAGTGGCCTGCCTGGGCGTGCGATGCTTCTTTGGCTTTCTCCTCCTCCATCTTGTTGACGATGGTGGTGACCACGGTTTCCATTTGGTCGGTGGTGAGTATGCCGGACCTGTAGAGCCGAAGGAGCTCCTTCCTCTTCCCTTTGGGGATGTACTTGGAGTGAAGCAGATCCCAGACCGAAACCCTCTGCCCGTGGAACTTCCCGGTCGCCACGTTGACCATCCGGGACTTCAGAGCCTCCTCCTGCTTCTCTCCCAGAACCACCGCCTCCTCCTCCTGCTCTTCTGCCTCCTTCTCCTCCTCCTCATCATCATCATCATCGCCATCACCCTCCTGTTCTGCTCTCACAGAAGTGTCCTTTTTAGGGATTCCTGTGTGGGGGGTTGTGGTGCCTTCCCAGTGGCCTGCCTGGGCGTGCGATGCTTCTTTGGCTTTCTCCTCCTCCATCTTGTTGACGATGGTGGTGACCACGGTTTCCATTTGGTCGGTGGTGAGTATGCCGGACCTGTAGAGCCGAAGGAGCTCCTTCCTCTTCCCTTTGGGGATGTACTTGGAGTGAAGCAGATCCCAGACCGAAACCCTCTGCCCGTGGAACTTCCCGGTCGCCACGTTGACCATCCGGGACTTCAGAGCCTCCTCCTGCTTCTCTCCCAGAACCACCGCCTCCTCCTCCTGCTCTTCTGCCTCCTTCTCCTCCTCCTCATCATCATCATCATCGCCATCACCCTCCTGTTCTGCTCTCACAGAAGTGTCCTTTTTAGGGATTCCTGTGTGGGGGGTTGTGGTGCCTTCCCAGTGGCCTGCCTGGGCGTGCGATGCTTCTTTGGCTTTCTCCTCCTCCATCTTGTTGACGATGGTGGTGACCACGGTTTCCATTTGGTCGGTGGTGAGTATGCCGGACCTGTAGAGCCGAAGGAGCTCCTTCCTCTTCCCTTTGGGGATGTACTTGGAGTGAAGCAGATCCCAGACCGAAACCCTCTGCCCGTGGAACTTCCCGGTCGCCACGTTGACCATCCGGGACTTCAGAGCCTCCTCCTGCTTCTCTCCCAGAACCACCGCCTCCTCCTCCTGCTCTTCTGCCTCCTTCTCCTCCTCCTCATCATCATCATCATCGCCATCACCCTCCTGTTCTGCTCTCACAGAAGTGTCCTTTTTAGGGATTCCTGTGTGGGGGGTTGTGGTGCCTTCCCAGTGGCCTGCCTGGGCGTGCGATGCTTCTTTGGCTTTCTCCTCCTCCATCTTGTTGACGATGGTGGTGACCACGGTTTCCATTTGGTCGGTGGTGAGTATGCCGGACCTGTAGAGCCGAAGGAGCTCCTTCCTCTTCCCTTTGGGGATGTACTTGGAGTGAAGCAGGTCCCAGACCGAAACCCTCTGCCCGTGGAACTTCCCAGCCGCCACGTTGACCATCCGGGACTTCAGAGCCTCCTCCGGCTTCTCTCCCAGAACCACAGTCTCCCTCTCCTTGTCCTTGCCAGATGCATTTTCATCATCATCTCCCCTAGATATGCCCGTGGTTGCCATGTGGTGGGACTGCGTGGTTGTGGCCTCCACTAGCAGGGTAGCCAGGATACTTCTGAGCTCCTCAAGTGTCAGTCTCCCGCTCTTATATTTGGCCCAAAGTTCTTCCCGCTGGCACTCTGAGATGTCCTGGGAAAACAGGAGATTCCAGAGGGAGACTTCCTGACCTCGGACCATCAGGGTGAGGTGCTGCAAGCTCTCTTCGCCATGGCCTTGGGACAGGTCCTCATGGGATGCTTGATTGGTTTCCTTGTTCAGAGATTGGTTAATAATGGCAATTATTTCTGTTTCCATTTGATCCAGTGTGAGTTTGCCTGATTTGAACAGATGCAGGAGCTCTTCCCTTTTCTCCTCAGGGATATAATGAGAATGGAGGAGATCCCAGAGGGAATCCAGTTGTGTGAAAAACCCAGTCCCAGAGGTCTCAACCCGTCTGGATTTCAAAGCATTCTCTCTCTCCAGTGGCTGTTCTGTCCAACAAGCGGCAAAGGTTTCAGCTGATCTTGGGTCTTCCCTGGGAAGTTCCCCAGTGCTGCCTGATCCATAACAGGAACTTTCCGTTTCGGTAATAAGGGTGGTAATGCTTGTAAAATTTTCTTTCACACTCACAGTGGGGGAACCATGGCGGAGAAGAATTTCTTCTTTATTAATATGCGCAACACACCTTGAAAAGAAGGGGTCCCACACAGAGGCTCGCGCTCCTTGGATCTCACGGATGGTCACATCAATCTTCTCCCGGCCTAAGGTGCGCTGCAAAAGATCATAGTGTGATGACGGTGGGACTTCAGCTTCGCCTGGCTCCAAAACATCACAGCGAACCGGTTCCATCTCCTCCTTGGCTTTGTTCCCGGAAAGGGACATGACTAGGGTTTCCATTTCGTCCAGCGTGAGAGAGCCCGACTCGTACAAGTGCAAGAGCTCCTGCCTCTTCTCCTCAGGAATATGCGTGGAGTGAAGAAGATCCAACACAGAAACGTCACTCCGAGGCTGCTTGCCTAAAGGGAGTCCAGCCCTCTGAGACTTTGGAGGTATCTCATTTCTTCTAAATTCTGAGATGGCAAATTCCTCTCCTTCCTCAGCTGAAGACACACTGCTGCATGTTATATTCAGTGCTGAATGTTTGTTACTGCAATCTTCCATTTCGGTAATTAAGGTGGAAATAATTGCAGTAAGTTCCTCTGGGGTTAAGTGGCAATCTCTGAATATGCACAGAAGCTCTTCCCGTTTGTTCTCTGAAATGTATTGGGAAAAAAGGAGGTCCCAGAGGGACACTTCTTGGCCTTGGAACTGGCCGACGTGCAGCACCACCGTGTGGTTGTGCAAGGGGTCTTCCCAGCAGCCCACCTGGGCGTGGGTCGCTTCCTTGGCTTTCTCCTTCTCCGTCTCGTTGACGATGGTGGTGACCACGGTTTCCATTTGGTCGGTGGTGAGTATGCCGGACCTGTAGAGCTGCAGAAGCTCCTTCTTTTTTCCTTTGGGAATGTGCTTGGAGTGAAGCAGGTCCCAGACAGAAACCCTCTGTCCGTGGAACTCCCCGGCCGCCACCTTGACCATCCTGGACTTCAGAGCCTCCTCCTGCTTTTCTCCCAGAGTCACAGTCTCCGCCTCCTCCTCCTGACTGCCATCGCCCTCCTGGTCTGCTCTCACAGGGCTGCCGTGGCCGGGGCTTCCTGCGTCTGGGCCTGTGGGGTGTCTGCGTCCTCTGGTCACGCCTTCGGCAAGGAGGGCAGCCAGGATGTCAATCAGTTTCTCCAGGGTCACGTTGCCAGTTCGGTATTTGCTCAGAAGCTCCTCCCGCTGGCGCTCGGAGATGTGCTGGGAGAAGAGGACGTCCCACACGGAGAGCTGCTGATCTTGAAACTCAGGAAGGGAGACCTGGATGCGCTGAGCCCTCAAGGTGCTCTCCCAGTTTCCTTCGTTTGGGGAGAAAAGCCCAGGATCCCTTTCTCTGCCTCCCAACTCTGGGTCTCGGCTCTTCGCTTTAACTTCCAATTTCCTAGTGGTGGCCTGTTTCTTTTGGACGAGGGTGGTGAGGACACTGATGAGCCGCTCCATAGGCAGCAAGCCTCTGCGGTAGAGATCCAGTAACTCTGTCCTCTTTTCCTCAGCAATGTAGTCGGAGAAGAGCAGGTCCCACACAACCACGGGGTGACCCTGGTGCTCTCCTGTGGGCATGCTGACGGTTCTGGACCTCAGGGCCTCCTCTACGGTCTCTTCCCGGTGTGCTCGGTCGGTGGCGGCTCCTGGTGGCTTTGCCCCATGGGTGTCGGGGGCTTCTTGTTGGCCACTTTGCTCAGTGCTCCGTTCTTCCGTCTCGAGGACGGTGGCGGTGAGGCTTTGGGTGAGGGCCTGCAACGTTAGCGTTCCTGTTTTGTACTGCCGTAAAAGCTCTTCTCTCCTCTGCGGAGGTATGTACCTGGAGAAGAGGAGGTCCCACAAAGAGACGGCCTGGCCCTGAAAGAGCCCTACGTCCATCCTGACCGTTGCCGACTGCAAAGCTTTCCGTGTGTTCTCGTTCAGAAGGAAGGAAGAGGAGCCCTTTTCCATCACGTGGAGCATCAGCAGGCCGGTGTGGGGGTCTGGGAGACAGCGATTGAGAAGCTGCTTGTAGGTCAGGTTTTCATGAGTGTTAGGATCAAAGAAGCCCTTGGTGTCGTCTGAGGGGTCTGAGAGCGTTTTGTTCATTTCCTCGTCAAAGAAGCCCCGCCGGTAGGCCACTTCCACGGGCAGGCGATGGCTGTGCACGGGGTCAATGATGCCCCCGGTAGCGATCTGAGCCTCCAGCAGGCGGATGCCATGGTCTTTGACTATCAGACCTTTCTTCATGGCCTGGAAGAGGGAGAGATTGCTCCCTGTGTAGGGGTCCTTATACCCAGTCACGGCTCTCTCGGCAGAGAGGAGCTTCTCCCGCAGCTCGGCACCCACCACCTCAGCAGCGACGGCTTCATTGACGGAGAGCTTCCTGTTCTGCAGAGGGTCGGTGATGAACCCCGTGGCGGCCTGTGCCTCCAGCAGCACCAGGGCAGTGCCCGGCCGGAGAATGCCCTTCCACATGGCCTGGTAGATGGTCATCTTTTCCGTCTTGGCAGGGTCTGACCTGGCGGGCACCAGCACCCCAGCAATGCAGCTGGTGCCTTCCAGGTACCGCTTGACCGAATCCATTTCCGTGATCTCCTCCACCGTCTTGGTGCCCTGCGTGAGCTTCGAGAGCGTGTCCTGGTCTATGATCTGGGCGTTGAACAGTTCTGAGGCGGTCACCTGCCTCCTGAGACCCGAGAATTTCAGCTGGTGGCTCTTCTCTTCCATCTCCTCAATCAGGGTGACGACCAATTGGACCAGCTGCTCTGTGCTCACATTTCCTGCCAGGTGCTTGTCCAGCAGCTCGTGTCGTTTCTCTGCCGTGACGTATTTGGAGAAGAGAAGCTCCCACAGGGAGCATGACTTGCCTTGGAACTCGCCAACCGACACCTCCACCTGCACCTGCCGCAAAGCGGTTTCCAGTTGGCTGTCTGTTGCGGAAATGGAAGGCCCACCTCCCAGAGGCCCGGTTCCCTCTCCGGGTGGGGAGCTGGCCCCTTCCGCGCCCTTGCCAGAGCTTCCTCCTCCCTCTGAGAGAAGGGGAGCCAGAGCGCCTATCATTTCCTGAAGGCTCAAGGTACCCGAACGATATTTCATCAGGAACTCCTCTCTCTGGGCTTCGGGAACGTACTGGGAAAAAAGGAGGTCCCAGAGGGACACTTCTTGGCCTTGGAACTGGCCGACGTGCAGCACCACCGTGTGGTTGCGCAAGGGGTCTTCCCAGCAGCCCACCTGGGCGTGGGTCGCTTCCTTGGCTTTCTCCTTCTCCGTCTCGTTGACGATGGTGGTGACCACGGTTTCCATTTGGTCGGTGGTGAGTATGCCGGACTTGTAGAGCTGCAGAAGCTCCTTCTTTTTTCCTTTGGGAATGTGCTTGGAGTGAAGCAGGTCCCAGACAGAAACCCTCTGTCCGTGGAACTCCCCGGCCGCCACCTTGACCATCCTGGACTTCAGAGCCTCCTCCTGCTTTTCTCCCAGAGTCACAGTCTCCGCCTCCTCCTCCTGACTGCCATCGCCCTCCTGGTCTGCTCTCACAGGGCTGCCGTGGCCGGGGCTTCCTGCGTCTGGGCCTGTGGGGTGTCTGCGTCCTCTGGTCACGCCTTCGGCAAGGAGGGCAGCCAGGATGTCAATCAGTTTCTCCAGGGTCACGTTGCCAGTTCGGTATTTGCTCAGAAGCTCCTCCCGCTGGCGCTCGGAGATGTGCTGGGAGAAGAGGACGTCCCACACGGAGAGCTGCTGATCTTGAAACTCAGGAAGGGAGACCTGGATGCGCTGAGCCCTCAAGGTGCTCTCCCAGTTTCCTTCGTTTGGGGAGAAAAGCCCAGGATCCCTTTCTCTGCCTCCCAACTCTGGGTCTCGGCTCTTCGCTTTAACTTCCAATTTCCTAGTGGTGGCCTGTTTCTTTTGGACGAGGGTGGTGAGGACACTGATGAGCCGCTCCATAGGCAGCAAGCCTCTGCGGTAGAGATCCAGTAACTCTGTCCTCTTTTCCTCAGCAATGTAGTCGGAGAAGAGCAGGTCCCACACAACCACGGGGTGACCCTGGTGCTCTCCTGTGGGCATGCTGACGGTTCTGGACCTCAGGGCCTCCTCTACGGTCTCTTCCCGGTGTGCTCGGTCGGTGGCGGCTCCTGGTGGCTTTGCCCCATGGGTGTCGGGGGCTTCTTGTTGGCCACTTTGCTCAGTGCTCCGTTCTTCCGTCTCGAGGACGGTGGCGGTGAGGCTTTGGGTGAGGGCCTGCAACGTTAGCGTTCCTGTTTTGTACTGCCGTAAAAGCTCTTCTCTCCTCTGCGGAGGTATGTACCTGGAGAAGAGGAGGTCCCACAAAGAGACGGCCTGGCCCTGAAAGAGCCCTACGTCCATCCTGACCGTTGCCGACTGCAAAGCTTTCCGTGTGTTCTCGTTCAGAAGGAAGGAAGAGGAGCCCTTTTCCATCACGTGGAGCATCAGCAGGCCGGTGTGGGGGTCTGGGAGACAGCGATTGAGAAGCTGCTTGTAGGTCAGGTTTTCATGAGTGTTAGGATCAAAGAAGCCCTTGGTGTCGTCTGAGGGGTCTGAGAGCGTTTTGTTCATTTCCTCGTCAAAGAAGCCCCGCCGGTAGGCCACTTCCACGGGCAGGCGATGGCTGTGCACGGGGTCAATGATGCCCCCGGTAGCGATCTGAGCCTCCAGCAGGCGGATGCCATGGTCTTTGACTATCAGACCTTTCTTCATGGCCTGGAAGAGGGAGAGATTGCTCCCTGTGTAGGGGTCCTTATACCCAGTCACGGCTCTCTCGGCAGAGAGGAGCTTCTCCCGCAGCTCGGCACCCACCACCTCAGCAGCGACGGCTTCATTGACGGAGAGCTTCCTGTTCTGCAGAGGGTCGGTGATGAACCCCGTGGCGGCCTGTGCCTCCAGCAGCACCAGGGCAGTGCCCGGCCGGAGAATGCCCTTCCACATGGCCTGGTAGATGGTCATCTTTTCCGTCTTGGCAGGGTCTGACCTGGCGGGCACCAGCACCCCAGCAATGCAGCTGGTGCCTTCCAGGTACCGCTTGACCGAATCCATTTCCGTGATCTCCTCCACCGTCTTGGTGCCCTGCGTGAGCTTCGAGAGCGTGTCCTGGTCTATGATCTGGGCGTTGAACAGTTCTGAGGCGGTCACCTGCCTCCTGAGACCCGAGAATTTCAGCTGGTGGCTCTTCTCTTCCATCTCCTCAATCAGGGTGACGACCAATTGGACCAGCTGCTCTGTGCTCACATTTCCCGCCAGGTGCTTGTCCAGCAGCTCGTGTCGTTTCTCTGCCGTGACGTATTTGGAGAAGAGAAGCTCCCACAGGGAGCATGACTTGCCTTGGAACTCGCCAACCGACACCTCCACCTGCACCTGCCGCAAAGCGGTTTCCAGTTGGCTGTCTGTTGCGGAAATGGAAGGCCCACCTCCCAGAGGCCCGGTTCCCTCTCCGGGTGGGGAGCTGGCCCCTTCCGCGCCCTTGCCAGAGCTTCCTCCTCCCTCTGAGAGAAGGGGAGCCAGAGCGCCTATCATTTCCTGAAGGCTCAAGGTACCCGAACGATATTTCATCAGGAACTCCTCTCTCTGGGCTTCGGGAACGTACTGGGAAAAAAGGAGGTCCCAGAGGGACACTTCTTGGCCTTGGAACTGGCCGACGTGCAGCACCACCGTGTGGTTGCGCAAGGGGTCTTCCCAGCAGCCCACCTGGGCGTGGGTCGCTTCCTTGGCTTTCTCCTTCTCCGTCTCGTTGACGATGGTGGTGACCACGGTTTCCATTTGGTCGGTGGTGAGTATGCCGGACTTGTAGAGCTGCAGAAGCTCCTTCTTTTTTCCTTTGGGAATGTGCTTGGAGTGAAGCAGGTCCCAGACAGAAACCCTCTGTCCGTGGAACTCCCCGGCCGCCACCTTGACCATCCTGGACTTCAGAGCCTCCTCCTGCTTTTCTCCCAGAGTCACAGTCTCCGCCTCCTCCTCCTGACTGCCATCGCCCTCCTGGTCTGCTCTCACAGGGCTGCCGTGGCCGGGGCTTCCTGCGTCTGGGCCTGTGGGGTGTCTGCGTCCTCTGGTCACGCCTTCGGCAAGGAGGGCAGCCAGGATGTCAATCAGTTTCTCCAGGGTCACGTTGCCAGTTCGGTATTTGCTCAGAAGCTCCTCCCGCTGGCGCTCGGAGATGTGCTGGGAGAAGAGGACGTCCCACACGGAGAGCTGCTGATCTTGAAACTCAGGAAGGGAGACCTGGATGCGCTGAGCCCTCAAGGTGCTCTCCCAGTTTCCTTCGTTTGGGGAGAAAAGCCCAGGATCCCTTTCTCTGCCTCCCAACTCTGGGTCTCGGCTCTTCGCTTTAACTTCCAATTTCCTAGTGGTGGCCTGTTTCTTTTGGACGAGGGTGGTGAGGACACTGATGAGCCGCTCCATAGGCAGCAAGCCTCTGCGGTAGAGATCCAGTAACTCTGTCCTCTTTTCCTCAGCAATGTAGTCGGAGAAGAGCAGGTCCCACACAACCACGGGGTGACCCTGGTGCTCTCCTGTGGGCATGCTGACGGTTCTGGACCTCAGGGCCTCCTCTACGGTCTCTTCCCGGTGTGCTCGGTCGGTGGCGGCTCCTGGTGGCTTTGCCCCATGGGTGGCGGGGGCTTCTTGTTGGCCACTTTGCTCAGTGCTCCGTTCTTCCGTCTCGAGGACGGTGGCGGTGAGGCTTTGGGTGAGGGCCTGCAACGTTAGCGTTCCTGTTTTGTACTGCCGTAAAAGCTCTTCTCTCCTCTGCGGAGGTATGTACCTGGAGAAGAGGAGGTCCCACAAAGAGACGGCCTGGCCCTGAAAGAGCCCTACGTCCATCCTGACCGTTGCCGACTGCAAAGCTTTCCGTGTGTTCTCGTTCAGAAGGAAGGAAGAGGAGCCCTTTTCCATCACGTGGAGCATCAGCAGGCCGGTGTGGGGGTCTGGGAGACAGCGATTGAGAAGCTGCTTGTAGGTCAGGTTTTCATGAGTGTTAGGATCAAAGAAGCCCTTGGTGTCGTCTGAGGGGTCTGAGAGCGTTTTGTTCATTTCCTCGTCAAAGAAGCCCCGCCGGTAGGCCACTTCCACGGGCAGGCGATGGCTGTGCACGGGGTCAATGATGCCCCCGGTAGCGATCTGAGCCTCCAGCAGGCGGATGCCATGGTCTTTGACTATCAGACCTTTCTTCATGGCCTGGAAGAGGGAGAGATTGCTCCCTGTGTAGGGGTCCTTATACCCAGTCACGGCTCTCTCGGCAGAGAGGAGCTTCTCCCGCAGCTCGGCACCCACCACCTCAGCAGCGACGGCTTCATCGACGGAGAGCTTCCTGTTCTGCAGAGGGTCGATGATGAACCCCGTGGCGGCCTGTGCCTCCAGCAGCACCAGGGCAGTGCCCGGCCGGAGAATGCCCTTCCACATGGCCTGGTAGATGGTCATCTTTTCCGTCTTGGCAGGGTCTGACCTGGCGGGCACCAGCACCCCAGCAATGCAGCTGGTGCCTTCCAGGTACCGCTTGACCGAATCCATTTCCGTGATCTCCTCCACCGTCTTGGTGCCCTGCGTGAGCTTCGAGAGCGTGTCCTGGTCTATGATCTGGGCGTTGAACAGTTCTGAGGCGGTCACCTGCCTCCTGAGACCCGAGAATTTCAGCTGGTGGCTCTTCTCTTCCATCTCCTCAATCAGGGTGACGACCAATTGGACCAGCTGCTCTGTGCTCACATTTCCTGCCAGGTGCTTGTCCAGCAGCTCGTGTCGTTTCTCTGCCGTGACGTATTTGGAGAAGAGAAGCTCCCACAGGGAGCATGACTTGCTGTGGAACTCCCCAGCCCCAATGTTGACCATCCGGGACTTCAGAGCCTCCTCCTGCTTTTCTCCCAGAGTCACAGTCTCCTCCTTCTCCTCCTGATTGCCATCGCCCTCCTGGTCTGCTCTCACAGGGCTGCCGTGGCCGGGGATTCCTGCGTCTGGGCCTGTGGGGTGTCTGCGTCCTCTGGTCACGCCCTCAGCAAGGAGGGCAGCCAGGATGTCAATCAGTTCCTCCAGGGTCACGTTGCCAGTTCGGTATTTGCTCAGAAACTCTTCCCGCTGGCGCTCGGAGATGTGCTGGGAGAAGAGGACGTCCCACACGGAGAGCTGCTGATCTTGAAACTCAGGAAGGGAGACCTGGATGCGCTGAGCCCTCAAGGTGCTCTCCCAGTTTCCTTCGTTTGGGGAGAAAAGCCCAGGATCCCTTTCTCTGCCTCCCAACTCTGGGTCTCGGCTCTTCGCTTTAACTTCCATTTTCCTAGTGGTGGCCTGATTCTTTTGGACGAGGGTGGTGAGGACAGTGATGAGCCACTCAATAGGCAGCAAGCCTCTGCAGTAGAGATCCAGTAACTCTGTCCTCTTTTCCCCGGCAATGTAGTCGGAGAAAAGTAGGTTCCATATGGAAGGCTGCTCACTTTGAGCCTTTTCTGGATATATATTAATTCTTTTTGTTTTCAATTCTTGTTGTTTTTCCTCATTCTTATGTTCAATATTATCCTGTGTTTGTGATGTTTTTTCATTGCTGGTCCTTGGATTCTCAAGTTTTTTCTCTGGTTTGTGGATGTGCTCTTCTGTCTCATAGATGGTGGATTTTAGGGTAGTTATCATTTCCTGAACAGTTATTCCACCAACTCCGTATTGGTTTAGCAGTTCTTTCCTTTTGGTTTCAGGAATATATCTAGATAAGAGGAGGTCCCAGGCAGACACTGTGTTTCCTTGCCAATTTCCCACATCAATGTTGATTGTTACTGACTGCAAAGCCTGCCTTATCCTTTCGTCTGAGGAATGGGCATTTAATTGTTGGTCCTGTATTTGCAGCATCAGGAGTCCTGTGTCTGTGTCACAAGTACAGCGTTGGAGCAGCTGCATGTACGTGAGATTCTCATGAGTGTTTGGATCAAAAAAGCCTTTGGTATCATCTGTAGGATCTGTGAGGATCTGATTCATTTCTTCATCAAAACAGCCCCGCTTGTAGGCCACCTCCACAGGGACACGATGGCTGTGCATGGGGTCAATGATGCCCCCCGTGGCTATCTGGGCCTCCAGCAGGCGGATGCCATGTTCCTTGAGGATCAGGCCTTTCTTCATTGCCTGGAAAAGGGAAATTTTTCCCCCAGTGTTTGGATCAGTATACCCAGTGACTGCTTTCTCTGCAGATAGGAGCTTGTTCTGAATTTCTCCACCCACCAGTCCAACAGAGATGGCCTCACTGACAGACAGTTTTGCATTTTTCAGTGGGTCAAGGAGGAACCCCGTGGCGGCCTGTGCCTCCAGCAGCACCAGGGCAGTGCCCGGCCGGAGAATGCCCTTCCACATGGCCTGGTAGATGGTCATCTTTTCCGTCTTGGCAGGGTCTGACCTGGCGGGCACCAGCACCCCAGCAATGCAGCTGGTGCCTTCCAGGTACCGCTTCACCGAATCCATCCTGGCTACCTCTTTTGCTGTTTGTTTTCCTTCCTCCAAGTTCTCCATTGTATCTTGACTGATTATGTCAGCTTTCAGCAGTTCTGAGGCGGTCACTTGCTTTCGTAGCCCTTGGAACCACACCTCCCTCCTGGTCTGTTCTTTTTCTTTTACCATGTTCAGAATTTCATTGGTGATGTGTTGCAGAACTTCTGAAGGTCCTTGTTTGTATTTCTGAATGAGTTCTTTCTTCTTTTCTTCATTAATGTAGTCTGAGGAAAGAAGCTCCCACAGAGAGATGGTCTGTCCTCTGAATTTCCCAAGGGTAACATTTACTTTGGTGGAAGAAAGAATGTTTTTTGTGACCTCATCTACATAGAAATACTCCGTTTTGTCTAACAAGGGTAGGAGGTACATCCCTGAGTCGGCATCTTTGACGCATCTCTCCAGGAGCTGTGCATAGGTGACCCTTTCCTGTGTGTTGGGGTCCACAAATCCTTTATTGGCATATTCTGCATCAGAAAGCCAGAGGAACGTACCATCGTCCAAATGGCCCCGCTTGTAGGCCACCTCCACAGGGATGCGATGGCCGTAGAAGGGATCCATGATGCCACCAGTGGCAATCTGGGCCTCCAGAAGGCGGAGGGCAAGCCCTTTCTCTATAATGTTCTTCTTCATGGCCTGGTAGAGAGACACTTTGTTCCCTGTGGTGGGATCAGTGTACCCAGTCATAGCTTTCTCTGCAAGGTGAAGCTTTGTCTGAACATCTTTGCCCACAAGCCTCGCAGAGACAGCCTGGTCAACAGAGAATGTTTTCTTTTTCATCGGGTCAGTGAAGAGCCCAGTAGCCGCCTGGGCTTCCAGCAACATCAGGCCATTTTTTGGTGAGAGAAGCCCTCTCTCCATGGCCTCGCAGACAGTCATCTTTTGCCCTTTGGCCAGGATCCCCGCAATGCAGCCGGTTCCCTCTAGGAATCTTCTCACTGAGTCTTTCTGGACCAGCTGCTGAAGGACGTCTGGCCCTCGATGGAGACCATCCAGCGTCTTCTTGTCAATGATCTCAGAATTGAACAGATCTGCAGCTGAAACCTTCCCTACTGGTCCTTTCAGCTGGAACGCCTGAGCTTTCTGCTCAGTTTCCTCAACAACAGTGTAGATGGCTTTGCCAAGCTGCTCCAGGGTCATGCTTCCTCCCTTATATTGGCTTACCAGGTCTTTCCTTTTCTGTTCATGGATATATGGGGAACAGAGGAGGTCCCACATGGAGACGGCTTGGCCTTTGTACCTGCCTACATGCATCTGCATTGGTTGTGCTTTCAGAAATTGCTTGGTGGCCTCATCAATGTAGAAGTACCTTCCCCCTCTTTTGACTATCTGCAACATATATAGCCCTGTCTCTGGGTCCTGGACGCATCGTTCTAGGAGCTGCAGGTAAGTGAGGTTCTCGTGGGTGTTGGGGTCAAAGAAGCCTTTGGTGTCATCTGTGGGGTCTAAAAGGATTTGGTTCAGCTTTTCATCAAAGTAGCCTCGCTTGTAAGCAACCTCCACAGGGATGCGGTGACTGTGGACAGGGTCAATGATGCCCCCAGTAGCTACCTGGGCCTCCAGGAGGCGGATGCCATGGCTCTTCACAATGAGCTCCTCCTTCATGGCCTCAAAGAGGGAGATCTTTCTTCGGGTGTAGGGGTGTGTGTATCCTGTCACGGCCTTCTCTGCGCTCAGCAACTTCCCGTAGGTCTCCCTCCCAATTAGCCCCATGGCCACGGCCTCATCTACTGACAGCCTCTTGTTTCCCACAGGGTCAATGAGGAACCCAGTGGCGGCTTGGGCCTCCAGCAGGACGAGAGCGGCTCCTGGCCTGAGAAGGCCCTGCCGCATGGCCTGGTAGATGCTCATTCTCTCACGGCTTGGCTGCAGAAGAACTCCAGCAATGAAGTTGCTGCCTTCCAGGTACTGCCGAACAGAATCCATCTGAGTCACTTCCTGGACCGTTTTCCTCCCCTGCCTCAGATCATCTAGAGTCCTCTTGTCTATCAGCTGAGACTGGAAGAGGTCCGAGGCTGACACCTGCTTGCGTAAGCCCTTGAACGCAAATTTCTGGCCTTGCTGCTCTGTCTCTTCCATGATCTGGGTAATGGCTGCTATCATCTCCTGAAGCGCCTCAGCCTTCTTTTCTTTGTAAATGAGCACCAGCTCTCTCCGCTTGCTTTGGGTGATGTACTCAGAATTGAGCAAGTCCCAGAGGGAAACCTCTTGACCTCGGAATCGGCCAACATTGACACAGACAGTGATGGATTTCAGAGCGTCCATGGTGTGCCGGTCCCCATAGAAGGCTGCGTCTTTGGAGAGTGGGAGCAGCAGGAGGCCAGTCGCTGGGTCCCTGAGACACCTGTCTTTCAGCTGCTGATAGGTCAGACTCTCCTGCGTATTAGGGTCAAAGAAGATACAGGTCTCATCGTTGAGCTGAGAAAGGGCCTTGTGCATGTCTTCGTCATAGAAGCCGAGCCTGTAGGCAGCCTGGAGAGGAAGATGGTGGTGATGGACAGGATCGACAATGCCACCGGTGGCTAACTGAGCCTCAAGCAAAGGGATGCCGACATGGGAAGGGATTAGCTCCTTTCTGATTGCCTGGCACACTGAGATGGGCTTTCCAGAGTAGGGGTCAGGATAGCCTGTTATGGCCCTCTCTGCCTGCAGCAGTTGCCCCATGAATTCCTCACCCACAAGGCCAGCCTTGATGGCGTCCTCCACTCCAAGTTTCTGGTTGGTCACTGGGTCTATAATGGAACCCGTGGCTGCCTGAGCTTCCAGTAGCCTTGTCCCCGTACCCGGCAGAAGGAAGCCATTCTGCATGGCCTGGTAAATTCCCATTTTCTCCTTGGCATCCTGAATGAAAACTCCAGCAATGCTCCCAGTGCCACTCAAGTATTTCTTCACACTTTCCATCTCGGACACTTCCCTGGCTGTCCTCCTGCCTTGAGCCAGCTCCGCAAATGTCTCTTCTGAAATGATGCCTGTATCCAGAAGCCAGACTGCAGGCACTTCACCCCTCAAGCCTTGGAAGGTGACCTGGGTCTGGGCCTTAATTTCTATGTCCTCAACAAGCCCCTGGACATGGGAGACCAGCTGCTCAAGGGAAATGGCCTTTGACCTAAACTTCTCCAAGAACTCACTTCTCTGCTCCTCGGTGAAGTAGCCAGAGCTGAGGAGCTCCCAGAGGGAGATGCCTCTGTCCTCCAAAAGGGTCTCCCGGAACTGCTGCTCAATCTGCTCATCTGTGGAGATGGGAGAAGCTGCTTCAGAAAGAGGCAACAGGTGAATGCCAGAAGCTTCATCTCTCTCACACTGATGGATCAGCTGGCCATAGGTGACCTTCTCCTTCCAGTCAAGGGTGCTGAATGCCTTGGTGTCACTGCTAGGGTTGGAAAGCGCTTTGTGGAAGTCCTCATCCAGGTAGCCTTTCTTCTGGGCAAATTCGACGGGGACATAGTGGCCACTGTGCGGGTCCATGACCCCTCCAGTAGACAGCTGAGCATCCATCAGCTGCATGGCCTGTTTGTCAGCCACAAGGCCCTTCTTCATGGCTTGGAAGAGTGAGATCTTCTTGCCCGTGAAGGGGTCCTGATAGCCAGTGACAGCTTCTTCTGCCCGATGTAGCTTCTCGTAGAGCTCCGGGCCAATTACGCCTTCCCTCACAGCCTCGTCCAGGCAGAGTTTCTGGTTGTTCACTGGATCAATGATGAAGCCCGTGGCCGCCTGGGCCTCAAGTAGTGGCAGCGCCACTCCTGGCAACACCATATTCCTCTTCATGGCTTCATAGAGACTCACTCTCTCGTGAGAGGGCCGCAACACGATTCCCCCAATGCTGCCCGTGCCATACAGGTATTTTCTAACTGAATCCATGCTCAGCGCCTCCTCTGGGCTCACAGTGCCCTCCAGCAGCTTTTCAAAGAGGTCCCGGTCAATTATGCCCGTCTCCAGCAGGTGGTGGGCCGTGACGCTGCCCCTGATGGCTGGGAACTGGATACGGGCCCATTTTTTCATCTCTTCTTCCAAAAGGAGACGGATTTGCTCGAGGGTGACCTTGCGCAGGGAATAATGGTTGAGTATTTCCCTCCTCTTGCCCTCGCTGAAGTACTCCGAGTTCAGCAAATTCCACACAGAGACTCTCTGGCCTTGGAAACGGCCGTACCTGACCAGGAGCCAGGAGTGCTGAAAGGCCTGCCTGGTGGTGTCATCGATCAACGGGCGCCTCCTGCTGTTGAGAGGCAGGAGGCAGAGGCCAGTGGAGGGCTCCGTGAGGCACTTTTCCTTCAGCTGCAAGTAGGTGAGGTTCTCCTGGGTGTTGGGGTCAAAGAACCCCTTGGTGTCGTCACTGGGGTCGGAAAGGATTAGGTTCAACTTCTTGTCAAAGTAGCCCCGCTTGTAGGCGGCTTCCACGGGCAGGCGGAGGCTGTTCACGGGGTCAATGATTCCTCCGGTCGCAATCTGGGCTTCCAGGAGGCGGATGGCGTGTTCCCTGACAATGAGGTCCTTCATCATGGCTTGGAAGAGGGAGATCTTACTTCCCGTGTAAGGGTCCCGGAAGCCGGTGACTGCCTTCTCGGCGGCCAGGAGCTTGTCGTACACATCTGGGCCGATGACTTTGGCCCGCAGGGCCTCGTCCACAGTGTATTTCTGGTTTGCCACGGGGTCGATGATGTACCCAGTGGCGGCCTGGGCCTCCAGCAGGATGAGGGAGGTGCCTGGGCGCAGAAGGCCTCTCCTCTTGGCTCGGTAGATGCTGATCTTCTCTTGGGAGTCAGGCAGGAGCAGCCCAGCAATGCTGCCGGTGCCTTCCAGGTACCTCCTCACCGTGCCCACGCCAAGGACCTCTTTGGCCAAAGTTTCCCCGTGTGTTAACTTCTCGAACAAATCTTTGCTGATAATTTCAGAGCTCAGGAGCTGGGCAGGGGTCACCTTGTCCCTCAGACCTTCAAAAGTGACTCTTGAGTTGGCAGAGACTTGCTGAACCATGCCAATGACTCTGTCTGCCAGGGCCTGAGTGGAAAGGCTGCCTGAGCAGAACTGCTGGGTGAGAGCCCTGCGCTGCTCCCTGGTCAAGTAGTCTGAGAACAGCAGTTTCCAGAGGGACACGGGGCACCCTCTGAGGTGGCCGCAGGGCTTGGGCACCATCGTGCTTTTCAGAACACACTGGGTCCTCTGGTCAATGAAAGGATGCTCCTTCCCAGGGTTGCTAGAAAGGGGCAAAAGACACAGCCCGGTGTCTGGGTCTGCAACACACCTTGACAGCAGTTCTGCATAGGACATGTTCTGCTTTGAATTGGGCTCAAAGAACCCCCGAGTGTCATTTGTGGGGTTGCAGAGGAGGCTGTGTGTGTCTTTGTCCAGATGGCCCCTCTGGCAAGCCACCTCCAAAGGGAGCCGGTGGTGAGTGTGTGGGTCAATGATCCCACCCGTGGCGAGTTGGGCCTCCAGGAGGAAAATGCCAGGGTCCCTGGGCACAAGACCCTTCTTCATGGCTTGAAAGAGGGACAGCGTCTCCCCTGTGTAGGGGTCTTTGTACCCTGTCATAGCCTTCTCTGCTGAAGACAGCTTCTCGTACAGCTCCGGCCCAACGACTCCTGCCTGGACGGCTTCATCAGCAGCGAAACTCTTATTCTTTATGGGGTCTATCAAGCCTCCTGTAGCCGCCTGAGCCTGCAGGAGAATCTCTGCTGTGCCAGGCATTAAGAAGTGTTCCGACAAGGCCTGGTAAAGACTCCTGCTCTCGCCAGTTTGCAGGATGGCCACACCAGCTATGCTGTTTATCCCTGACAGATACTGCTGGATAGCATCCATCTCAGCCACCTCCTGTGCTGTGACCTTCCCATCGTGGAGGGCTTTGAATGTGGTTGAGTCAAGGATTCCAGAATCCAGCAGCTCGTGGCTACAGACTGTCCCTCTCAGCCCAGGGAAAGAGATTTTCAGTGGCAGCAAAAGCAGGCCTGTGCTTGGACTCGCAATGCATCTTCTCATCAGCTCAAAGTAAGTGACCTTCTGGTTGCTGTTAGGATCCAAGAAACCCTTGAACTCTTCGTTCCCAGGATCAGAGAGAATGTTGCTGAGGTCTTCATCCAGGTATCCATGTGCACAGGCCTCTTCCAAAGGGAGACGGCGGCCAGTGGTGGGCTCAATTATACCTCCAGTGGCTATCTGGGCTTCCAGGAGATGGAGGCCCTCTTCCCTCCCAATCAGCTCTTTCTGGATGGCTTGGTACAGAGAGATCTTCTCCTCGGTATAAGGGTCGGTGAAGCCTGTCACGGCTCGCTCGGCGCACAACAGCCTCTCCTTCATTTCTAGTCCTGCTAATCCCATCCCCAGTGCCTCTGCCACAGAGACCAGCTGCTTTCTAATGGGGTCAACAATGCCGCCTGTGGCTGCCTGTGCCTCCAGAAGGACCAGTGCTAGGTCAGGCTGAAGCAAGTGCTCTCGGGAAGCATCAGACAGGCTCAGCGTCTTGCTGGAGGCCTCCACGTAGACCCCCGCAATGCAAGGGATGTGTGTTTGGGTTGCTGCAGTTGCAGTGCCTCCTGCCACAGCCACTGACCCCATGGGTCCCTGTACCGCAGGTTCCCTTGCTTCCATTCTTGGGTTATTCTGGCTCCCTCCTCCTGTAGGCAAATGAACCAGCTGCTCGTGTCAGGAATGGTAACTGTGGTTCTGGAAAGAATGGACAGAAAGGGGAGCATTAGCTGTGTGTTTTCAGAGGCTTCCCTGGTGAATGGATGGTGCAGGGGAGGGGGTGGCAAAGGCCAGCTTCAGGAATGTTAGCCACCTGCCCCACCTATCCCATCTGAAACAGGTTGGCCTCTGTTTCCAGGGCAGGGGAAGGCCTGAGGGCTGCAGCAGCAGCAATACTAGTGATGATGGGGGGTAGGCGGGCAGGTGACAATGACAGGGCAGGTATAAGCACACCCTGGAAAACCAATAGCTCCTTCTTTGAGTTTTGCACCTCAGGAGCCCAGTCAGCATTTTGCTCCCTCCTCACTAGGAGGCTGATGATACTCTTGGGCAAGTTGTTCCTTTCAGAGGACTGACCAGTTCCCCCTGCCCCAAGTCCACAGCTTGGTCCAAATCCCATTGTGTAAATTGTGCCTGGAGACGAATTATGACCAGTAAGGGGAGATTTTCATAAAGGATTTTCTAAAGGACCTTCCTCTTTTTATTTCACAGCTTGTCTGATCCAGGAATAAACTATTTATTATGGGAGCTATGGAACAAAACCAGGAATTCTTTCATTACTGAACATCTCTGCAGCTGGTTGGTGATACCAAATAAAGAGAGAGTTTCTGTTAACAAGAGACTTCCTTTTTCCACCCCACATGTCTTGTAGCTTCCATGCAATGACATGCATTACTCAGAAGTTGGATAAGCTGCAGGAAGAAGTAAAAAAAAACCTTTAGTTTCTGAAATGTCCCCGTCCCGTCCACACACATACACCCACCAGCATTGATAACAGCATCCTTCGCAGTCATAGGGTATCAAACAAGATTTCAGCTTTAGGGTAATACTGTATGTCATTGCTTAAAAGTGGAGTAGAGGAGAAATTGCCTAAGTGCCCCACCCAGTCCAACAGGCTTCCCACTGGGTGACCAGTTGCATCATGGGATCTTGCCACTACTGCAAGAATAGTTATGTGACAGGGAACCTGTTGAAGCTGGGAGAGGGGAAGAAGGCAAGCATGGTTCCTCTCCTGCTCTGTGTTTAGACAACAGGGTACTAATCCATACCTTTTCGAAAGGCAGGGAAGGACCAGCTCGCGTGGCTTGGCATAAAGATGCACAGTCCCAGCATAGTCTCACACCCTGCTGCCTCCCAAGCTAGTTGTTCTCTGGCGCAGCACCCTGCTTTGCAGAGAAAAAATTCACATGGCCTAAATAAGTGGGTTCTGGATCACATTAAGCTGGAACTCTCTCAAAATGAGTAGACTGAGGCTACTGACACATCATGAGAATACAAGATTTCACGGGTAAAAAACATATTGGGCCCTTTAACTATTCTTTAATACATTTGTTATACTGTACTTTGATTGTTGGTCATCTTTTTTCCACTGTTAAAAATGTCTATAAAGAAAAATGTGTGTTGTGTGTTGTTTTTTTAAAAAAAGACAGTTATGCTAGGGAAAGTTGAAGGCAATAGGAAAAGAGGAAGACTAAATCCAAGATGGATAGACTCCTTAAAGGAAGCCGAAGTCTGAGCACAGCTGCTAGAGACACCACATTCTAAAGGTCACAAATTCATGGCCTTAGCATAGTAAGTTGCACTAAAGTAGGCCTGTTAAATCATTGGGAATTTGGGGAGACAGCTTCTCTGTAAGTTTCATTGATTCAAATTGGCCTACTCTATTTGCGAGTTACTATGCTAAGCCACAAGAACTCAGCAACAGAGTTTGGGTAAGAAAAGAAACTAGATAGTCCGGAAAAAAGCCCACAAAAAAGCAAACTAACTAACCCCCATAGTATCCCACGTTGGGGGTGGGAGCCAAGACCAGGAGGCCTACAGGGTTTTAAGATGGCCACCGACCCCTGAAGCTTCTCTATCCTTTCTCCCCTTTCCTATTCAGGCTTTCCCCCTTCTGATTGAGCAATCAAAGGGCTGGACCGGGCCCAGGTGTCTCCCTTCTGCCTCTGCTCTCCCCACTGAGCTGTTTCCTTGGGTGACAGAAGACATGGGTCAAAGGCATTCGCCGGGGCTGGCATGCAGGAGGGGCCAAACAACGCACAGCGTCTGGCTCCATGGAATAGAAATGTGCAGCAGGCCACATGGTTCAGGTGGGGCTCGGCTCCAGGGCTCTGGGTCTCCATGCACTCGGAGGATGAGGTCACTGCAGTGGGAAAAGGTGTCATTCAAGACCCCCACCGTTTGGGGTGGCTGCTATGAAAGGCGTAGCAACCCAACAGCATTTCAGCACAACACACGCCATCGCTCTGAGCTGACAACCTGTCATCCGAAGTACGTTCTCGGGCCTGATTAACCCTGTAAGCCTGACAGAGTTGGTGGGATCTTGTGTCCACAGAGGAGCATGCGAATGTGAGTGGGCAGCCACCTCGGAGGCTATTCCCTACCACAGTGAAAGCTGCAGCAGGGAAACAACCAAACACAGTGGTTCCAGGTGGAGGTATGTCCAGAAAGTATCTTACAGATGAGAGGTGGACATGCCTAGGGAAGGGTGGTGTTACCAAGGGGCTGTGAGCAACCCTCCCCGATTGACACAGCTAGTCTGAGAAGAAGAAGGTCTGTAGGTACTAATCGAGGGCCCTGCCTCATGCCCCTACAGGGTTTGGAACAGTGCGTGGGTATTCTGGTATTCCTACCTGGCAGGGTTGGTGTGTGCAAGTTAAAGCATGCAACCTTCTGCATGTCGGTAACTCCCTGGAGCACTGAGGCGTCAAGGTGACTCAGAATGTCAGGTTAAGGTACCAGGCAGAAAGATTTCCCACAGCCATCAACCCACTGACACTCCCCCCCCCGCCGCCGCCATCAAGAGTTTACCCACATCAGGAAAGTCTGGGTAGTGTGGCTCAGTGGTTGGTTGGGCTTCTCTGTCTCCGCCATAATCTTGACAATATCCCCACTTTCTTGCAAAACTGGGATTCAAAGTGGCTCAGAGCCAGATTACAAACAACAACAACAACACACTGTGTGATAATGTGAAAGCACACCTGTGGCCATTTTCATAAAACCTTTAAAGGCCACCTAATTCCAGTTTAACTCAGTTCTTGATGGAAAACCAGTGCCTTTATAATCAATGGCAGTGGCAAAAAAAAAAGTCCAGACGTCTTCTGGCCAATAGACTAAGAGGTCTCTTGGGTTCCTATGTGGTAGAATGACCTCTATCTAGCCGCCTCTGTTACTTGCTTAACATAATTAATGGGACTACTAAAATCAACATAATTAATCTGACTACTAAAACTAGACCGCAGTCTATTACTCCTGTATCTTTTGGTGTCTCAGATCTTGTACCTTAGAACTGCAAAACCTTCCCGATACTCTGGGGAAGAAATGTATGGCTCCTCTTTAGAGGAACTCACATGCTTGAATAAAAATGGATCTGTGGGTTCACCCCCCCACCCCCACCCCCCATGTCCACGATGAGAGGCAGCAAGCATGGGCTTCTCCTCCCACTCATCCTTCTTCCTGGGCCAGAAAGCCCCCCCCCGCTGGTTTGTTAAGAAAAAAAAAGTCAAATCCTCTCACTTAAAGAAGTAACAATAAAGGGAAATGGTTGCCTTTGAAAGCAGTTTGCAGATCGCCTTGCAGGGCTAGTATCAATGCCAACAGTGGGGGCAGGAAGAGAGAACCAACCCCCCCCCGAGTCTTAAACCTCCTCTCTGAAGATTGTTGTGTGTCTTCAAGTAACTAAAACTGAAAGGCAAGGCTGTGGGTGTGAGGAGGGGCCCCCTTCCCACCCACAGAAAAGAGGAGGGCGAGCCGTCCCCTTCAGCGCCCACCCCCGAGGAAGACGAGAAGCGGCAGCGGGAAGGCGGGGAGGCTAGCCCCGCGGCCACTGCCCCACGGAGAGCGCGCGTAGGGGAGGAAAAAGGGCGGGAAAGAGGAGCGAGCGAGAGGAAGGCGGGAAAGGGGAGGGAGATCGGGTGACCGCGCTGAGGCTGAGGAGAATTTAGATACTAGAGACAAAAAGGGAGCTAGACTGGGAGAGAGTCTGAGGTAGAAAAAGGAGGGAAAAGGGGGAACCAAAAGAAAAGAAAGGAAAGGAGGGAAGGAAGACGACATTCGAGGGTGAGGTTGGTTAGAGACGGAACCCCCCCCCCGGCTGGACAGGCGAGTGTGTGGAAATGAAACTGCCCCTAGAGAGGAAATAAAGACAGCAAGATCGCAACGGGAGACCCTGAGGGGAGAAAGACAGGAAAAGAGGGAGGAGAGCCTAAAAGGCAAAGGAAGGAAAGATGGGCTGTGCCGCTTGGAGGGGGCGGGAGCCCAACCAGCGGGAAGGGACGGTTTATTATACGTCTCTATCCCAAGAAGGGAGATCAATCCATGGAAGAAGGGAGCCAAACCGGGGCCGGGGGGGGGTGAGGTCGCATCCAGAAACGCCCACGGAGGGAGAGTGGGCACCCCTGTGGCGGCACCCTAGGTCCCAGGCTGAGGAGGCCGACATACTGGAGCAAGTTCAGAGGAGGGCAACAAGGAAAGACTGAAAGAACTAGTCATGTTTAGCTGGGCTTATTTTTGCGGTAGGGCTTATATTACAAGCATCCTGAAAAATCACACTAGGGCTTATTTTCAAGTGAGGTCTTATTTTTGGGAAAACGGTAGAAACAAAGTAGATAAGATGATGTTGCCTGGAATTGTTGCCACATTGAAAAGACTTATACCCAGATGAATTTTGATTGGATTAGGAACAATTATCTGATTTCATTCTGGAATTAACCCTTAATTGGAATAAATTCTGGTTGTGATATGCACAGGCTTCCCTTGTTGTTGTTTAGTCGTTAAGTCGTGTTGTTTAGTCGTGACCCCATGGACCAGAGCACGCCAGGCCCTCCTGTCTTCCACTGCCTCCCGGGCTTCCCTAGAGATCTACAAAATTCTGTAGGGCTCTTGGGGAGATGCTGAGGCATCAGAATTTCT